GTTTAAATGGTGTTATTTGAGTCGACAACTCAAACGAAGTTGAAAGTTGATATCTTTAAGCTGCTGCGTAGGAGAATAGAGATATTCTATTGATAACTGCACCACTTTTCCTCCACCTTATTATGAAAACGAGAAAAATTCCTACATTAAAGTCTAGATTTTGAAATTCACAAAAGAAAATTCTACACGGGTTTTTCCTCACATCTCTGTTAGGAAATACGGATTATGAAGCTGCAACTATCTGCGTTTTTCACTTTGTTGAACACAATTTTTGCTCAAGGATTTCTCTCCGGTTCTGTGCTTGACTTTCTTTTTGTGACTGCCGTGTAAGCATATTTTGAAAACACCTTTACAGAAAGAGGATCAGAAATTTACTTACTCATCACTCAAGATTTGCGTTCTATCGTATCAAGTAAGCATCAACACTCATAACTATATCACAGAATATTTATTCAGATTTTTTTAATTGGTAATGAGCTCTTACAAATCCATCACTAGTGCTCAGTAACTGATATTTTGCAATAATGGTATATTCATATTCATAGTGGCGTTTTTCAGATTTTACTGATAAGCGCAGACAACCTTATGCTTCACAATGTTATGCTTGTTCTTTTTGTCGGTGTAGTAGCATCCGATGTCAATGAACTGAATCAGTGGAAGGAAAATACCAGCAATCAACGCTTGCGAAACGTTACTTTTTTCTTTCGTAGTCTGAATTTTTCAACTCCATCTCTTAAAAATCGCTCTACTGACTCGACTCGGTCTCTGGAAGAAAAATTATCTTAAAAAAGCTAGAAACTGTAAAATTGCAGCTAACCTCATGTATCTTATGGTAAAGTTTACATCGGGCGGTACCCTAAATCTTTTATTTCGAAGTTCCAAACGAGCATATTTCTCGAACGTGCAGTTGTAGCTCTGCGAGTATATTTCAAATAATAAAAAGCATTCAAATTTGTAAGTAAAACTATTCAGAAACATAATCTTACCATCCAAGCGTTGTCCGCTCTTAGGGCAGCAATCAGAATGTCGCGGTATTTCTCATCAAGTTGTCTTTCACGAAGCTCGTCATAACAGTCAATAAAATTTCCGACTCCTCGAGAAAACAGGGCAGTTAGCTGAGAGAAACTACTGTCTACTTCTGTCGACTAAATGTTACTTCTTGATGACTTACTAGCAGAAATAAAACATAGAGGACCATTTGCGCCTAAAGTGCCCTCACTTCCTTTTTTATATTCGTACTAATTTTGTACTCTGGAGCCATTTGTGTGATCATATGCGCAATCGCCAATGTGAACTTGCAGAAAAAAAATACGCGCTCTGCAACGTCCATGCATGGTTGATGTTTTAGCAAAAGCTTGGTTTTTCGACTGAAAATAAAATCGTATTTTTCAAATCTCGAAATCCGGGCAGTCATATATGTCAAATGCGGGCTTTAAAAAGCTTCACCTAAAGAAACAAATCGTTGCTGAAATAAAAGTGAAGTGGTTCAATTTGTTCGGGTGCCACATATTGTATTGATATGAAAGGCAAATAAATCATAAATCAAACATCTTATAGCACTTTACAAGTCATCGCATAGCAATTCACTAAAAGGCCATTTGAAATAGTGAGAAACTGCAATAATTGATGATGCATCACAAGTCAACTAATTTCTTCTACGAAGAAGTAGGTCTGAAATCAAGAAAACATTGTTCTTATTAACACTGATCTCAACGTAGTATCGGAAAACAAGGCACCAAGCACAAAATTTCTTGTCAGCTTTTGCAAAATCGTTTTCAAGGGATAAATCGACAAATCTTTCATTGCTATTTGTAGCGCAGTTAACATGCTAATAGTAGACAATTGTGGTTTTCATTTTCTTGCTCCGACTTCCTGCAATACCATTTCTTTATATGCTTTTCCTTTCCGTTTCCTTTTCTTACGGCACTAACACGCTTCGATTTCCCTCTAAATGACATCAGTTCAGATCGCGTCTCGTCCTACTGAAGCAGCTAATTGGCCTAAGTCTAGCACCTAACCAAAGCTGC